TACAAGACCAACTGTTGCAGAAAAATTTAATATATTTTGAAAACATACATGTGGTAAATAATTTAGGTTTCATTGCAATTCACGTATTATTACAGAAAAACTAACACCACAAAGCTGATATGTAAATGTCCATACAGCACAGGCCTTCCTCTCGCCACAACACACTACTCACTGACAGGTGACACATGCCCCATTTAATGACAGGTAACTTCCAATTAAGGTCATACCTAGGTTAGGTTAGCATATCAATGTAAATGCCCCAGGCCCCACAATTTGGTATAACTGTATTTGTTCCATCTTGTGGTTTCAATTAATTTGATTTTGTTGAGAAGCGAGTTCAAGAGGTAGGTCTGTGGTGTCAACAACAGTCACCAGAAACAATTGGCTAAGATCCAGTTGTGGGTTAATAAGATAGTGGTCACTCACCTCAAAAGAATGCGTGATTGCTCATAACAATCAACAAATATTATTAATACACATGATTTCAGTTGTAAATATGCATTAGTCATCACACCAACAGAAAACAAGGTAATTTTTGAGAAATAAGGATATGTCAATTTGAATAATAATCATGTTGCAATGGAAGATTCTTTCTTTTATTATGGTATTGGCACCATTACAGAATCAGCAAGCACATCTCACATAAACACAGCACAATACACTGGAATGTGCTTGATGTACCAACATCCAGACACAACACAGTACCAACTGTTTTTTGTACAGAACTGAGCAACACAGTACAAAACAAATGCCACCAGATAATGGACTGTATTGGTTTGCCTGAATATACATCTCATTTGGGAGGGGGAGGCAGAATAAACAATTCTGTAATATCCACACCAACAATTTAAATCAGAATTCTGAAACAATATTTTTCAGTCTGCCATGCATTATATCACTCCACATTCAGCAACCTGAGATTAGTATCCATGGGAAATATTATTGTAACAAAAATGCTTAGCTATGTTGGTTTCCACATATGCACTGTATTCTCTCATATCTGTAATTAATTAAAAAAATAAAATTAAATCCGTGGCGTAACAGCTCCAGAGCCAAAGCCGACTAGCTTGACTGCTGGTCTCACGTTCACATGCCTAAGCAGAGGTGAACGGTCATCCAACCAGGTATAGGGTGACGTGTGGTCAGCACGACGAACCCCCAGCCATTGCTAGCTTTCCTGACCGGATTACGCTACTCATTGTAGCTCCCCAATTTCCTCACGGTGCTGGGTTGGCACCGGTCCCATACACTGGTCGAAAGCTCATGAGAAAATTTCTTCTACCCCGAGACTCGAACAAGCGCGCATTCCGTATCGCCGGTCTGAAGCATGATGCCTCAGACCGCGCGGCTATGGCGCGGGACTCTGTAATTAATTACTTCCAATAATCATTACAAGTGAACTTTACTTCTCTTTGACACTAATGTCTCAATATTTTATGTTATAACGTAATTTAACTGGACTGTATGAACTGAAGAGAGAATGATTGTAAATGGTAGCTCGGAGTAAATAGGGCATAATCATGTTATACAGAGGTACTATCAGAGCCGCGCTGCCCTATGGGTGCATCGCACCTGGGCGGCAACTTGCTAAGGTGCCACAGAATTATGAAGCATTGCATTGGAGTGCCGAAAATCAGGGGCGGCGCCAGAGGGTAGCAAAGTATGCAATTGCCTACAGAAGCCATGGTTGAAGGGGCCCTAAAAAGAACTGAAATCCATCCATAATTAAACTTGGTGATCTAAAAATAGAAAAATTTAGTACTTATTCATAAGGGCGGCAGATATGCTCGGTGCGGGCCTGGGCACTATGACAGCATTTGCGTAAAGAAGTTGGGATAAATGAGTAATAACTGGGTCAGAATAGGTCCCTGATTGAGATGCAAAAGTGTAAATCAAGCAGTTTACCTCAGAGCTTAGCTTCGAAGGAATGCATAAATAATGCAATGTATCACCACAGTTGTATTAAGACTTCAGACAACAGTCTAAACGTGCGTTCATTGTATAATATTCCGGGTTGTGACAAAGGATAGTCTTTACCAAGTTTGTAGAGGAATGTATCACCTACATCTTCATAGTGAGACATTCCCGGAAACCACCTACAAGACTAAATGGTGTCGCAACGTGGAAGAATACAATCAACGTCTTCACCACTATGAAAACTTAAAAAATCTGTCAATATATGTTTACCATCCACTGTACTTTATTTCAGCAACTTTTGATCAATATTTCAAGCAATGTCCAACAAAACGCAAGTGTGAAGATGAATTCATTGGTGTTCCTCACGTTCAAATAAAAGTCACATTTTCTAAACATGAGACATACGTTAAATGTCGCGGTCCCGATCGAACCCATGTACTGATGGGTCGTGAATCATGCTAACCACCAATGCACACCATGCTGAATGGTGTTGGTAAGATTGTATCCTATGACAAAGTTCAAATGTTAGAGAACAGCAGTACTGAATCAGTATCACATTCATTAAGAAATTCTGAGTAGATTACATTTGGGATATGCTCAGTGAGATTCAGTTCACAATTTGTCTTCCTGTCCCAAAGACGTAAAGATTAAAATATACAAAACCATATTTTATTCTTTTGTTTTACATGGGTAAGAAACTCGGTTCTCTCGCCCTAAAAAAACAGAGGGATTGGAGGAGTATGATATGAGCAGGGCATATTGCATGGGACTGATGATAAATGCATACAAAATTTTAGTGAGAAATCCTGAAGCAATGAGACCACTTGGAGAACCTACGCACAGACATGAATACAACAATAATTTATTTTATATTGCCTTTTCAGTAGCCCAGACTACACAGCAACAAATGATAATGAATTGGAAAGGTTGCGTAAGGATGCAGTCACGGCCTAATTAAAGGTGCTACCCCAGCACGTGCCTGGAGGGACTGAGGAAAACCACAAAAAACCTCTGTAAGAATAGCTGGCCTCTGGACTGAGATTTGAACCCGGGACCTCTCAAACAAGCAGGAGTGCGAAACACCTGACGACGTTCGGTAATATAATATTACGATTGATCTCAGAGAAATAGGATGCGAGGATCTGGACAGGATTCATCTGGTTAGGATATGGTCTCATGTTGGACTTCTGTGAACACAGTACCGACCCTTACGGTTTCATAAAAGGCATGGAATTTCTTGACTAGCTGAGTAACTATTAGCTTGTAAAGAAGTATTCTGCTTCTTAGAGCTAGTTAGAAGCATATCTATCATAGTTGACAGTTTCAGTGTTCTTTCAAATTTCTTTTATCCCACCGTTAAAGTCTTGGGTTTGTAAACTTTGTTACAATCAATATTTCTCATTTCATCTATGATCAAACTCTGTCTATTCTCCTGCTAATTCACAGTGCAACAGTAAGTAAAGAGTCAGTGTCAGAGAGGGATAAAAAGTTGGGACACGAGGCTCAGCCTACCACTAGATTTGCCACCTGCCGAGTTTCAGTATTTCTTTCAAGGCAATATGAAAGCAGAACTTATCTTAATGATAAAAATGGACAGATACAGTGAGAAAGATAATAAATTTTAAAAAAAGACAATAACTGTATAAAGTGAAGCTTTTGCAATGACTGAAGTTGATGAAAGACTCCTGGCAGCAAGGGCGTAACAAAGGATCAGGCGTAGCCCTGAGGATGAGAGCAGAGATTGTTCTCAGATATGGTTTATTCACCGTTCAGCCACCTGAAGTGCTGTATGTTATCACATTCGTTTGGTGAATAATATCTACAGTTTTAAATTAATGCGTATCTGAATATGAATGTCTTCTGAGTTGTGACGCTGTGCAGTCTGGTAGAAGTTTACCAGCATTTCAGAGGCACTTGCTGTCTCCATCATCATCATCATCGCCCTGATGATGCAATCAGTCAAATCCTTCTGAAATGTTAGTAAACTTCTACCAGACCACACATTACAACCTAGAAGACAGCCACCTTTATACCTGCTGTCAAAAAACCTCAAATCCTATAAATTCATATCTGCGCTGTTATATTTTATTACCATAAAGATAACCGCCTACATTATCACAACATTCTATTTGTGCATTGTGCGAGACAAAAAGGAAATCTATTAACAAAAATAATTTTGAAAAAAATAGAGACGGTTATCATTATAATAACATCTAATTTTTAAGGGTAATAAACCATAACAAACGTCATAAACATAAGAACAGCAGCAGTTTACCCCTATCTGAAAAAAAAAAGAAGCCTTTTTCAGTGTCTATAGGCCCTTGCCTTGGTAAAGCCATTCTCCTATCAGAAATGGTATGAAATAAACTCCTTCGCAGAAAATCTACTATGAGATGCACAAATTAAGAATTAAGAGTCATCATCAGGAAGTGTCATATCCAGGATATAATGGAATTACTCTCTCACAATCATTCTGATCAACATTAAGCTACTGTTAACGACACAGAATCAACAGTCAAAAACATACTAAAGAATTCCCAGTCAACAGCATAAAAAGGCGTAACAACCGAGAAGATTAATAAACGTTACAGACCCTAACACTAAAACAAAGAGAATAAATTGCATAATACACTTATATCACTTTCACGTCATGTTCTCCAATTCCGACCACTGCAGATTCGATGAAATGGGATCCATACTCGATACAGTTTACATCTGTTACAGTAAATATCTGTCCTGCCTACGATGAATGCCATCCGAATGCAATGCCAAAACGTCTGAAAGTGGCAAGTCTACAAAAACACAGCCTCTGTAACAGCAGTTTAAATTAATTCAATAGTTCAACAGTGATGATGGCTGTCTTCTGGGTTGTTGCGCCGTGTAGTCTGGTAGAAGTTTACCATGGATGGAGGTAGCAAGGACCTCTGAAATGCCGGTAAACTTCTACCAGAATACACGGCACAACAACCCAGAAGACAGCCATCTTCAGATTCACCGCCGTGGAAACCTCAAATCCTACGCAGTTCACCAGTGACTGTTTAATTCATGTCCATGTTCATATTTACAGTGTTGCTGCATATTTAAGTGTGATGTATCATGTCCCTTTTATTCATCGTAAGTTCACACGATCAAATTCTTCCAACATCGGAAGATTTAAAGATGGGCCAAAAATAAGTTTACATAAAAAGTTAACAAATGTCTATGCAGAAATGTTCTGCGTGTTACAACCTCCTCTGATTTGATTCATTACATGCCATAAAAAAAATCACTATAAAAAGTCCTGATGTCACTTTTTCTTCAACTGACTGCAGATCCATTCCAGACCCTGGTACAACCTGAAAAAGAAACACTTTATAGAAATAAGACAATACCGTGACCCACAACAAGATGATGCATATTTTTTGGACATTTTCCTTCATCTATATTTAAAAACTGCACATTTCAGAAATATAACCAGCTTCAGAAATTTTGCGTGGTATTTTAAAAGCAAAAATATGGAATTTTGTTCCATAGAGGTAAAACCAACATTGCAACCAAGTATCAAAGCATCATATTCAGGAGGTCCCACAATCCAAATCTAAGCCCAGACAACCAGCCATTCTGACAGAAGTTTTTCCTCAGTCCCTCCAGACAAATGCCATTAGCACATCCTTAAATTAGGTCATAATCATTTCCTCCCCCATTCTTGAATATTCATTTGCCATGCTAACATTCAATATTACACAGTCTGAACTACTGACAGTAGCGTTAGCAAACAACCGATGAACAAAATTTCGTATAAAAACTGAAATTTAATTTTAATCTAGTTTGAAAGAAACCACAAATTTAAAGTGCAGCTCACAACGAGCTTTACAGTCTCTTTTGTGTGATTTTCAAGAAACAAGTACTCTTGTAATGCAACAATTGTTCATTTATTACAACAAATCTTGTAATTATATATAAAAAAAATCATGTAATATCATTTAAAAATGTTCCGAGTTACAGTTCCTGCTGCAGAGAACTTCTGCCGCTAATTATTATAAATTTGTAACATTTTGGAAGTAACTGATAAATGTGAAAATAATTCTGAGATATCTTACAAGACGGGACCTTCTTCTAATAGTCCCGACATTCTGAACATCTTAACTTACTCCATGACATCTTACAGGTTACTGAGTCAAACTATTCAGTCACACTCACGTGTAACTGAACGTTCACATATGACTGCTCTCAGGTAATTTTGATATGCCACATTTAAGAGAAATCAGCTCTCTTTCGTGTAGCGTGAGATAAGATTTAAGAATCTTCTCACCCTTCTCCAGTGAGAGCACAACACGACTGGATCTGCCACCGATGTTCCTTTATCGACGTAAGGTCTAACTGTTTACTAATTTCTGCTGCTGACATGGAACCTTTCAAGTCCTGTTTATTGGCATATATGAGAACAGCTGCCTTTGATAATTCTTCATGAGCCAGCATTCGGTACAGTTCTTCTCTCGTCACCGCCAGACGCTCACGATCCGTAGAATCGATAACCACAATCACAAACTGTGGAGAAATCATGACTATAAGTTATGTTATTGCTTTGTTCATATTCTTCTGATACCATATGCCATTTAACATCCCACCCAGGCTCCAGAAATGTACTTCCCATTTTCAATCGATGAGTTAATTAAAACCGAAGATGAACGTCTTCTGGGATGCTGTTATGCGTAGTCTTGATGATAGAGGCAGCAAGTACCTCTGAAATGTCAGTAAACTTCTACCAGACTACATGATGAAACAATTCAGAAGAGTCAGCCATCTTCAAGAAATACACTAAAGTAATTAAAAGCAAATCCCCACTTAATGGTACCTGCACCTTGTC